CCGTAGTATGTAATCGATATCTGCTGGTCCCAAACATATTTCCAATGGTCCATCTAAAGTCCTTCTGAATAGCGTTTCATCTTCGGATAGGGTGAATCGTGCTGCCTTTGTGCGCAAAGCTCTCGATTCCTTTGGATCTGATGGAAGCTTACCGTTCTTGAAGTACTCTATATATTTATTTCTCCAATCCCAGGTTAGACTTGTGGAATTTATCTCGGCGTGACCTTCTTCGATCACCGATTTTATGAGTTGTACGACCGTCCCCTAGTTGAGTTCGTCATCTTCGACCGATGAACCTAAGTTCGCAAGAGCGTCGGCCTCGCTGTTTTGTTCTCGGGGTATATGTTGCAAAGTCAATTCTTTAAATTGATGTAGAGTCACCTGTAATTTATCCAAGTACCTTTGCATTCGATTTTCTCGGACTTCAAAAGTCCGTTAACTTGGTTTACTACAAGGAGGGAATCACACTTAGCTTCTATGATCTCTGCTCCCAAGCTTCTAGCTAGTTCGAGACCTACAATCATGGCCTCATACTCAGCCTCATTGTTAGTCAATTTCGTAGTTCTGATAGACTGTCTAATTATATTACCTGTGTGTGATTTTAGTACAATGCCTAATCCAGACCCCTTCGCATTCGAGGAACCGTCCGTGAAAAGGGTCTAGACTCCCGAAGAGGTATCCGATTTTATAAGTAGCTCTCTTTCAATCTCGGGCACGAGGGTTGGCAAAAAGTCAACCACGAAGTCTTCCAAGATTTGAGACTTGATAGAGGTTCGGGGTCGATACTCGATATCGTACACTCCGATTTCTATGGCCCATTTGGCCAATCGACCCGAAAGCTCGGGTTTGCATAAAATGTTTTGAAGAGGATAAGTTGTTACAACATGTATCATATGAGATTGGAAATATGGTTTTAATTTCCTAGAGATGCTTATTAAAGCAGGCGCTAATTTTTCTAAGTGTGGATATCTAGTTTCGGCCTCGCCTAAGGTCCGACTGACATAATAAATAGGGAATTGCGTACCTCATTCTTCTCGAACCAGGACTCCATTTACTGCTATCTCCGAGACAGCTAAGTACAAGTAAAGTTGTTCGTCCACTTTCGGGGTATGAAGCAGAGGCGGGCTCGATAAATACCGCTTTAGTTCTTCCAAAGTATGTTGGCATTCTGGAGTCCATGCAAAGTTGCTTTTCTTCTCAAGCAGTGAGAAAAATCGGTGGCTCCTATCTGAGGATCTCGAAATGAATCGTCCCAAGGCGGCTATTCTCCCCGTTAACCTTTGCACGACCTTCACATTATCTACTATCGTGATGTCCTAGATAGCTTTGATTTTATCGAGGTTGATTTTGATTCCCCGGTTGGACACCATGAAACCAAGAAACTTGCCCGAGCCAACCCCGAATGCATATTTTTTGGGGTTAAGCTTCATATTGTACTTCTTTAGTACGTCCAAAGTTTCCTGCAATTGCTTTAAATGGTCCTCTACTCGCAGGGACTTAACTAATATGTCATAAATATAAACTTCCATTGATTTTCCTATTTGTTTTTCGAACGTTCGATTTACTAAGCGTTGATAAGTTGCACCAGCATTTTTTAGACCAAATAACGTTATGTTATAACAATAGCTACCGTACTTGGTGACAAACGAAGTCTTTTCTTGCTCCTCCGGGTCCATTTGTATCTAGTTGTACCCAGAGTAGGCATCGAGAAAACTGAGAGTCTAGTGGCCGGCCGTGGCATAGATCATTCGATCGATGCTAGGTAAAAGAAAGGAATCCTCAAGGCATGTTTTGTTCAAGTCTTTATAATCTATACACATTCTAAGTTTGTTTCCTTTCTTAGGGACCATCACCACATTTGCTAGCCATTCGGGGTATTTAATTTCTCGAATGGATCCTATTTTAAGAAGTTTGGTTATCTCGTCCTTGATGAAGGCATGTTTGACCTCGGACTGAGGCCTTCTATTTTGCTTTATCGGATGGAATTTTAGATCCAAGCTCAGTCTATGAGTGGCTATCTCCGGTGGGATCCCTGTTATGTCAAGATGGGACCAAGCGAAATAGTTCATGTTAGCTATAAGAAATTGAATAAGCTTTTTCCTGAGCTCGGGATCTAACCCCGTGCCCAGGTATACCTTTCGCTCGGGCAGATGTTCAACTAGCGTGATTTGCTCCAGTTTTTTGACCGTTGACTGGGTAGCGTCGGTATCATCGTGGACCACAAATGATAGAGGGATCCCATAGTCATCGTCTTCATCAGTCTTCTAATTCTCTAGTTGGGTCGAGGCTGATGTTTGTGATTGCTATTTGGTATCCTGTTCCTCCTTCGAATCTGATCCCTTTGTCGATGATAGTGAAGATATCGGAATCACCTCATCAATGGCAAACATTTCTTTTGCGGCTGGTTATTCCTCATAGACAATTTTTGATTCCCTCCAACATAGGGAATTTCAGAACCTGGTGAAGGGTCGAGGGTACTGCTCTCATGTTGTGGATCCATGGCCTCCTGAACAGGACGTTATATCTCATATCACCCTCGATTATGTGGAACTTTGTTTCCTGGATGGTCCCGGCCACGTTTACTGGCAAAACAATCTCGCCTTTAGTAGTTTCACATGCCATATTAAATCCGTTTAGTACCAGGGTAACGGCTACGACCTGGTCCTGTAGACTGAGTTGCTCTACGACCCTTGATCGAATGATGTTGGCCGAACTACCTAGATCAATTAACACACGTTTAACCTGAGTTTTAGTCATAAGTACAGATATTACCAGTGCATCGTTATGTGGTTGCATGATTCCTTTCGCGTCTTCGTTACTAAAGGATAAGGTTCCTTTAGGTGTGTAATCCCGAGTCCGAGATCGCTTCTCTCTTATAATAGATGTCTTAGTATGTTTAAGCACCGGTCCCTGGGGACATCGCTCCCTCCGATGATCATGTGGATGATGTGTTGTGGCTCTTCTTGTTCGTTTTGTCTATTGAAATCTCTGTTTTTGAAATGGGTTTTGGCCCGGTCACTTAAAAATTCTCGAAGGTGCCCCTTATTGAACAAACGGGATACCTCCTCTCTTAACTACCTGCAGGCTTCGGTTCTGTGGCCATATATGCCATGATATTTGCACATTTAATTGGGATTTCTCTGGGCTAGATCGGACTGCAGAGGTCGAGGCCACTTAGTATCTTTGATACGTCTGATAGCCGACACGATGGCGGATACATCGACGTTGAAGTTATATTCTGATAACCGTGGTGCTTCCTTAGGTCCCATATGCCTGTCGAATCCATTCTTGTTCATCAACCCCCGAGACCCTTGGCCTTGATCACTTCTCCTTTTTCCTTGTACGGAGTTGAGTGTAGGTTCGCTGCCCCTATGATCTCCGTTATACGGCTGATATAGGTCCTTGTTCGACCTTGGTTCTCGGTCGATGTCCCTTTTAATAATGGACCTAGAACCCAACTGGTTGTCTTAAACTATGATCTTCGATTGATACCGATTTTGTACATCGGCCTAGGTAACAACTGGGTACTCGATCAGGTTCTACTTCAACCGTCATAAAGCCATCGAGCTTTATTTGTTTAGACCTTGAGTGAAAGCTTGAACAACCCAATCGTCTGTGACTGGAGGTAGATCCATTCGTTCCATTTGGAAACGAGATACGAATTCCCTTAGCATTTCGTTATCTCTTTGTCTTACTTTGAAAAGGTCCGACTTTTTGGTTTTGACCTTTATGGCTCCAGCGTGTGCTTTTATGAAAGAATCTGCAAGCATAGCAAAAGAATCGATAGAGTTAGGTAGTAAATTATGATACCATATCATTTCTCCCTGTCACTTCTCCCTTTGACAGGGTTTCACCGAATTTTTTCAATAATAAAAATTCGATCTCGTCGTCTTCTAGATCGTCCCCTTTGATGGCACATGTGTAAGAGGTGACGTGTTCGTTGGGATCGGCTGTTCCATTGTATTTAGGAATTTCGGGCATGCAGAACTTTTTGAGGATTTGTTTTGGAGCCGCGCTCGGGGGGAAAGGCTTTTGCACGAACTTTTTAGAATCCAAGCCCTTCAATATCGGCGGTGCCCCCGGGATCTGATCAACCCTGGAGTTATAAGTTTTCACCTTTTGGTCGTTTGCTTCGATCTTCCTTTCTCCTGATTCTATTCGTTTTGTCAGTTCCTCGAGCATCTTAATAATTTCGGGATTAGTCCACGATTTTTGTTCATTCGACCTCACTATAGCTGGCCCCATTTTGTGGGTGACTTCTTGGGGTGGACTGGGCTCGAGTCTAGTCGGTGTCTGGGTTTGGCTCGGTAACTGGGCTATTGTTGCTTGTTGAGCTTGCAACATTTTGAAAATCATACGCAAGCTTATTTCATTTTCCTCAGCGTTTTGGGTATTTCGAGCTGCAGATCGAGTTCCACCATGAATGCTATTTTCAGGGTCGGAACATTGGTTCGCCTCGATAGCCACACGCGAATTATCATCAATTGGATCTATGGCCCGAGCTCCAACAAGATCGACTGGTGGCCTTTCATCCCCGGTCGTCAGGTTGTTCTTATCATCTTGAAGGCCAACTTCGTTGTCGATAGGTAGGGCCATTAATTGAGAATTCGTCGTTTTCAGCCTGAAATCAAAGACACTTCCAAGAGCAAGTGTAAAATAGTGTGTTTCAGAGAGATTCGTACCAAATAACCACTATTATCCTTAGCCCCACGGTGGGCGCCAAACTGTTTACCCGAAAAATGGATAGAGTTGAATTTATATGTAGTTCTAAGGATACATGGTATAACTTGGTACAAATCGAAAAATTAAGTAGAAATATATCGAATATTGACTGTATAAAGGAATAAAATACAAACCAAATTGAGTAGAGAATGATTTATAAACAAGCAAGATGAATCAATGTCCAAGCTTAAAAAAGGATAATCTCAATATATATCAATGTAATAATCTTTAGAATGTGAATGTATCAATATTTTCTTCTCTGGATGTTCAATCTGCCCTTTTAGAAATGATACTCACTCTTAATATAGTGAAAAAATCTTGCTTTGGATATAATAAAAAAATACATAGTGGAGATCTCATGATAGATTAATTAATTAACTTTTCCTTGATTCCCGCCGAGATTCTCTCCCTAAGTGCGGCTACAATGGCTCTTTGTCTCATAGCTCGATCTTGGTTGGTCTTGGTACTGATCGATATCGGATCTCGAGCTCAATATCGACTCGAGCTCGATATTGACTCGGGCTCGGTATTGACTCGGGCTCGATATTGACCCGGGCTCGGTATTGACTCGAACTCGATATCGATTCGGGCTCGGTATTGACTCGAGCTCGATATTGACTTTGAGCTCGGTATTGATCGGTCCCTGAATCTTGAATTTGATATCCTGGTGTCGGATCTCATCTCGATATTATGAAGACGACCCTTGGTCCATCATGTTCCAATCTTGACTAATTACACGAAGGGCAAAACCGATTTTGACCGTAAACACTCATGTAAACTCACATACATAAGATATGCTTCACCAGGAAGCAACATTGACTTAGCAAGTTTAGTCTATAAAATAAAAGAGAGAAACACAGATAAATCAAAACAATAGATGACACGCCATAGCTATTGAGATGCAGGTTTCATTACTACTGCCTAAGGAAAACAAAACAAAATGCGATTCATCATCGCGAACATTAATCCCAAATAGAAAAAAACAGAAAAATAGTATGTTTGACCTGCTGAATGCACATCCTTACCAAAGATGGAGTGCAAGCAAACAATAGCTTTACGAAAAGCAGTTCAACTTTTGAATTCTCAAACGAATAGATGTTCACATACTCAGAGCTTGTTGAGAAGTCGCTCCAAACAGGCCGGGGTGTCGAGATATTTCAAAACCGTTTCAGTACTGTCGCTGCTATGATCGACCTAATGGTACAAAGAAATACCAAGACATTTTAGCTTCTCAAGTTAACAAAGATGAAGAGCGAAAATGAACCAAACCATACATATATTTACTGCTAGTAAATTTGTCGTTATAAAAGGAAAAAAGTTGCAATATGATTCTTTTTGTAAATTTAATTAGTTAGGGTAGAATAGATTATTTTTCTCATATGTATATGCAAGCATTTATAAATATCATATCCAATTAGCTCTAAAACTCTCCATATCATCAATTTAAAAGCTAATTTTGTTTAAATCCTAAAAAATAATTATTGTTTGTAGTTGATTAAGAACTTCACTAATTCCTAAAACCAACCATACATTCAGACTTGGAATATGGCAGTTAATAGAAACTATCCACCACCAAGAATATCTTCTTCTTTAGACTGTAAAAAAAGCAGTCAAGATTAATTTCATTAAACCCTCAAATAAAAAAATGACATTCATCATGTCAATGAAGATTGACATTATAGTTTTGACCCAATTAATTCCTACAACATGATGAACTTATGCTCGTATAGGTTTTGGTAAGTAGTTTTTCACCCCTTCCCAAATCTAATTGTTGCTTTCAAAATTCATTTGTCTTGTGTAACATCATAGACAATTTTGTATGTATAACTCAACTGAACTTTAGTATTACAAAAGGTAGCACAATTTTTAGTTTTTATGTACCTTTATAATATTTTTTGTATTTTCTAATCCTTTTCGCACTTCCTTATATTAGATAGCTAATTCTGATCCAGTAAAATATGTCACGGCATCTTTACTAATTCGTTATTATGCACTATGAGTAAACAAAATATATTAGAATCAATAGTCAATGCCAAGAATATAACTTTTTCTTTTTTTGGTGAGTAGAAACTTTTATTAATTACCAAGTAAAATTTTAACAAAAGCAACATGAAAATAACTTTAGTAAGCATAATAAGTTTCTTTCGTGTTTAATGCTAAAAATTAATTTATCTAAGCATAGACAATTACCTTTTGTATATGAGTTCCAGACAAGCTTGGTGTTTCATAAACATTCTTATATAAATATTAAAAATACTAAGTAACATCGCATAAATACTCATTGATAAAAGTTCCGAGAAGGTCACACATGGAGCAGAAAATGCAAAATCTAGCAAATAAGAACAAAAAGGAAGTCAGTGTGCAGCCAAAAGAATTCATAAGAGGGTCTTCATGAGTTTACCGGTTGACTCAACAATTATTCTTTGATTTTACAGCTTTGTTGACAAAATAATAACATGGAAGATGCTGCTACTATGATAATCTCATGGATTTGTTGTTTGGCTTTTAGGCTTGTGAATTGTGATACATATAAGCATAGATAGAGGAATACATACAATCATGCCATTAACTTAGCACATTAATTTTTTGGAGGTTATGAATGTAAAAGGCATAAAAACTTAAAAATATTAATACAAATAATGAATTGGAAACTGATTGACTTCATTTTCTTAAATGTCTTTTCCTATTAATTGAGCAATCAATCTAGACAATGAAGTGGTTTGCAGCAAATATTTGAGGGTTATATAAGAGAAAAATGCCAAAAGTTTGACAAAAAAGATAAACATCAATGCTGGCAAAAGAAAGGTGCCACCTCACTTTTCTA